CTACCCACTCAACAGTAGCAAGATCCGCGTCACCGGAATCGGCATCCCCAGAGGCTGACGACTCTGACGACTCGGTGCATGAATCAGACGTCGAAGAGACGTCTGACCCGGGCGAACTGCTATCAGAGTCAGCTGCAGCAGGAACTGGGACCTCATCTGAGGCAGGCGCATCCACGCCTGTGTATTCCTGCGCGGTCGATGGCTCCAGGAGTTGGGGCCAAGACTCTGAAAAGTACAGGTCTCAGCATGCTCGGCAACAGCAGCGCGAATAGCGAGGACGACGCTGCTCTTGACACGTTGCTGTGAAACGAATTTGACGGACTCATCTGCATAGCAGACAGGCATGCTGGAAGGCACACGACTGTTGTCCGAATCGATGGTATCAACCCAGCACCCAAGCGCCAAGCGGTCCAGGACTGGCATCTTCATGCATTCGGCGGCGCTCGCGAACATGCGACGTCCACTGTGTGTGGTCGGAAGCTGTTCAGTCCGGGGCCCCCAAGCTGCCGGAGAAAGTGTGACAAACTGTTGCAGAATATGTTGCCAAGCCGAAGTGTTCATGGGAACAGGAGCAAACCCCGTAGGGTCAGCTAGCGACGTCCGGTAAGGCCGCAAAGCTGGCACCAGAAAAGTCCATTGTCGAGAACATGAGCGGTCCCAGTGTTGGAAGAAAAGGTCACCAAGCGTTGCTTGCCAAACGCCAGCTATCGGCATGGCCCAGTCGAACGGCGGTGGACAACGTCGAGCTCGCCTGGATGTTCCCTTGGAGCAGGACAGCTTCCACGCGAGGTTCATCTTCGACACAAACTTACTTCGTTGAGCATGTTTAAAACGGATCCCGGAGTAAGCCAGCACCGCCGCGGCCATCCCCAAATAACGCTGAACATGGTTCGAGGAGTGTACAAGTGTCTCAAACACCCAGAGGTCCCTTGCAGTGAAAGGAAAGGCCTGCTTCAGAGGGGCTGCTGGCACTACGTCGGCTGGGGCAGAGACCAGCTCATCATCCAGGGACATGTCAAAGCCCAAGTGGTCACGCAAGAACTTGAGCCCACTGACCATGCCCATGTTGCACTGCATGTAGGAAAGCTGCCGCAGGCACTGAGCGTGTTGGAAGAATTGCTTGTCGGGGCTGCCTCGCAAGGCACCATGACGTCCACCGTCGCCAGGATGAAAGAGCATTGCGCAGCGTGTCGGGCGAGTAAGTTGCATATTTGGCAAGCAGCAAACCTTTCGCCTGCTCCGCCAGTTCCGGAGAACATGCTTGATGAGGGCCACCTTTGGAACTGAAATGCAAGTTATCGAACAGCAGGCCGACCAGGTTTGCCGCCAAGCACTGTGCGCGGGAAGATTCCGAGGGAACCGACCGCTCTGCTGGGCGACAGTTTGCCGCCACTGGTACATCCACAGCTTCACGCAGTCTTCCTTCGGCCCGTACATTGGCAACTAGGTGCGGGCACACATGTGCAGCAGCAGCTGGCAGAGACGCCTGCTGCGCGAATCGTAACCGACCTTTGGCAACTGCTGCCGCATCCAGAATACGGTTTGCCTTTGCATGCATCTGAAGCCACGCGTCACTGTTAGGCCACGTGTAGAAATCATCAACATCCATGCCATACGCAAAGTCACGTAAGGTGACAATGCTCTCGTGAAGCAAGCGCTCTAGTGGCACACGCGTGTCGCCGAACTCCGTCCAGAAACCAAGTAAGTATGGCAGGGCCGAAGGCACTTCGGGAGCAGCACTGGGACTGACGGCCTCTTCAGTTACGCTGCGAGTGCGTGAGCGCTGCCTTGGCGAGGAAGCAGAGGAGCTGCGGGCACTTGAAAGCCCTCCATGACGCAGATGGGAAGGATGCTGTGCGCTGCAGCTCGAACTGCTTCGATCCCCAAGCCAAGCATGATAATGCACATCAATCCTCGCCTACCCTGCCAACCAAAAGGATTCTGATAGAGTTATCTCCTGCTCCACCAACTTCCGCTCACGGATCAAGCGTGCAAGAAAAGGCTGGTATCCTTCTTTTGGCTTCACGGCAAGCTCATGGAAGAACCTTCATGGCCATGTGCAGCAAGTCCGAAGCCCGGGGACTATATTTGTCGTCCCACAACTCAAAGATGGCCTTGTCTCCACCCTCGCTACATAGCTTTCCACAAGCAATACTCGCACGCCAACTCGGCTTCTTTTCTTGATGCGCAACATCAATCGTGGCCCTAGCTTCTGCTTCGGCATTGTGTTCGGCAAAGCAGCTAGCCTGAGTTGAGCTCGGCGCATCCACTTTCGATACACGCCAGGGTCGCCATCTAAGGACTCAAGGCTAACGCGCTCATCCGCTGTGGCCATGGCAGCGCTCCGCTACCGTGGCTGCATGAAGCGCGTGTTGTCTTCTGACCCAGCATATTCCCCACGCTCTGGTTGGTCACATGCGATGGGCTCCAGACTGGGCATGGGATTCTCAACAGCCACGCGCAATGCAATCGCAATGCAACGTGGTGTCATCGAGGCCGTCTCATGCAAACGTGGACATAAAGCTCCTGTGCTGGCACGCCTGTGGTATTGATGTACATGCTGATGTCGATACTGGCTCGGGAGGTTTGGCGGCTAATTCGGGCTTCGCAGGGACATAGTCCCAGCAACATGGCAGCTAGATTTAGCGAAAGCACCACGAACCAGGGCCGACGAGCTTTCAGATGGCTTCTTCGCTTGCCTTGCTGCTCCTTTTCTATTGTTTTTTGTAACGCTGCTTGGCATTCATGTAGTAAACACTTGACAGCACAAAGACGTCAACGCAGCATTTGGCATAATGGCCACGCGGCTGATCGACCTTAGCAAGACTAAACCTGTACCCCGCAGGGTCACATGCTAAACAGCTGCTCATGTGCCTGTGGCTTGAGCGGCCCACACTCAAAGAAGCTGGCCGATTTGCCCGAAATGCAAGAAACAAGCTATGAGAGTTGCATTCCGCAGCAGTGGCAAACTTGAATACCAGGCATGAGATTGAGGATGCGCCTTCGACCACCCCTCCAGCAAAGATGATCGCACCTTCAGGGCCAATTGTTTACATGCACGCGTTGCAACGGCAGGATGTGCCTCAGGGCCACAAACTATGGGAGACAGAGAGCTAGGATAGCAAGCTGCAGTTGCTTGGCTCCAAGGAATCCATGCATCAAGCTGTCAGTCTGGTGGCTAAGACTTGCCGCCGAAGCCTGGATCCAATCATCACTCAGGCTCTTCCCCACACCCACGAACTGATGCTTCAGCGCAGTAACCTCCCAACCAGCAAAGTCCTCCAGGCATCATTTCACGGGTGAAATACAAGCGGAGGTTGACCAGACACCAGACCAGCCTTGCCCTGCAGCACACCACGGTAAAGAATTGCGTTGAAGAGCTGACCTTTTCAGGTTAAGTCATCTTGGTTGGAGCTGCCATAGCTGCCTAGCCCGCATAGCTTTCCAGGAAACCGAGCATCAGCTCTGGGGTAGCTGCCAGTGAAGAGCCCCGAGCCACCGCTTCTGCGTCCAATCCTGAGCCACTGTTGGTAAGCCAACTCCATGCAAAATCTACACGCCAGGGCCAGCTGGGAAAGTAACAGACTTCTAGCCTGAACAATGCAATCCACTTGACGCTCCCATTTCTCACACCCAGTTGTTGTTTGGCCTGTCTGTGCATCCATGACCATCTAACACAGATTCAGCAAGATGGCTGAGGGCGCAGGAGGGTAACTCACATTGACTCATGATAGAGGCCCTGCGTAATAGCAGTATTCCTTGCTGAGGAACGTCAGCCTTGCGCGAGATGAGAACTCGCCAGCGAAGCGGCTGCGGTACCACAAAGGACGCTGCACCACCTTCTCCTCAGAACAGCATTTCAGAAAACTTGCTGCATCACATGTTTCGCATATCCCGATGATGTCGGCTGTCTGAACCCCTTCTTGTGAAGTCCGTGGCAACAACCTAATTTCCCGAGTCCTCCTTTCCGTTGACCCACATAGTCACAGCAAAAGCCTGAGAACAGGCAGGATCATAGCAGAACCGTTTCGGCCTCCTGTGTGACCACAAGCACTGGATTCAATAGTGTTGAGCTCAAATCTCGGGGCTGCTTGCAGTCTGCACAGAGACAGAGTGACTCAGAACAAACAGAACTATTGAGGGAAACAACCTTGGATTCTCCTTCTAAAGCCCAGGCAGAGTCGATCAAAGGGAAGGCGAGCCTTCGCGTCGAAAGACATTGCAACTTCCACCTTGCACACAATGGGTCGGTTAGGGATGTCTACACTCACTTCGAAGCAGGCCTCAGCCCCTTCCAGAGGGGTGCTGCCATACCCGAAAAACCTGAAGTGACCAACAAGTCTTGACTATCCTACTGTTGTGTAGGTCCACCAGAATTAGCCAAGGACGTATGCCCGGAAGCAGTGCGGCAGATGAATCGCAGCAATCGGCAGCGGCACCTTGCAGTGGTAGTTGGTAGTTGCCCTTCTTCAAAACAGCTGCTGCAAATATAGCCTGCAAGGCCTACTGATTGTTGGTACCCTTCGACTTGGTGCATGCTACGTGTTGTTCCGCTTTGTGATGCATCTACTCTTTCAATGAAGGAGGTGCTGGCATCAGCGAGCCCACCTCTAGTGCACAGCCACACAACATATGTGAGGGCATGGCTTCTTGTCGTAGATGATGCCAAACTCCCACCCACGGGCGTCTGACCAGTATGCCTTGCCTCTCAAGGGTTGAAAGGACAGTTGGAATAGGTTGGAACAGAAGCTAACGCAAGTGTGGGCTGACCTTGGGCCATGTCAATCATGTCAAAACCCATTGTGTCACACTCTTACTTTCACCGTTCGGCGCAAACCAACATAAAATGAGAAGCACATGGAGCTCAGGTTCTGGAAGTACCACAGCAAAAGCAAGAGTACCCTGCTGTTGGTCACGTGGCGGAAGCATTATCGCTACAGCGTGATTTACTTGCACCGAGCTGTCAAGCTCACTGCCCGCTGCCCACGATCCATGCACGCCTCGTCCAACGCTCAGTTTGCTCAGGATGGGGCCTTGCACTTCTCCTGCAGCAGAACATGTACCCTCAACTCAAGCCCACTAGTTGAAACAATGTCAGCTTGCTGTCACTTGATCGACCTTGAATTTCCTTCTGCTTGACGTTTGAGACACCAGCGAGGATGCTGAAGGACTGTGGCCCGGCACCAAAGTCAAACATCCCAGGGTTCCTGAGCGAAGGCTGGTTTCATCAGGAGGGATATGTGTGCTTGTCTAGGACTCAGAGCATGCCTTCTACGACTAAATAGATTGGCAACATGTTGCGCCAAGAAAAAGTTGCTCTTCCGCTTATCCAGACACGGCTCGGGTTGACCTCCTCGCCCTTGGCAACCAGGCCTGCATCCATGATCCAAGGTTGCCCAAAACAACACCGGCAGCGGGGACTAGTGAACTTCAGCAGACATAGAAGTGGCGCTGCACAAAGTTGCACAAAGCGCACCTGGCCAGGCCTGCAAAGCGGTCACCTGGGCTGAGCCAAGGAGAGCCAGGGCGTCAATGCATGATCTCAACACTTCAGCGGCCTCTCTCTGGAGAAGTAGAGCGCTCCGGTCCGCATCTGTCTCTTCACAGTCATCGTAGAGGTGGCAAAACCGCGAGCTCCTCCAAACAACAAACAGCTTCCTCAATTGTCGGCGAAGCAGCCCCATTAAACGAAGCATGCTTGAAATCAGGCACATGAAGAAGACCGCTGCCGCACAGAGCTTTGCAGGACACTTCTCCGCGATGCTGTTCATCCGGCACTTCTCCTCACAGCTGTGCACGTAATTGGCTGCCGCTCAACCCAGAACTTTAGGGGACACAAGTCCAAGGGCGGGCTGCGGGACTTGTATTGTTACGACCCAAACCCAAAGCTCTGCTGCCCCGCAAACGGGTCCTTGCAGCCTTCGATTGTCAAGCCTGGCCAACGTGCTTCAGTGCGTCACATTCGCAATGCGCAGGAACCAAGATGGCTGTACTTGGTCAATGAAGATCAGGGAACCGTTTCTCAGCCCCCCTCACCGGCCTTGAGATACCGACTCTGTGACTAATACGCAAGCAAACTGGCATTCATTTGGTATGCCACCCTCTAGTGAAGCCAGCCCACGATTTCTAAGTCAACTAAATGATGCACGTAAAATTTGCGTGCCGTTTTGCGGATTTTCGCAAAAATTCAAAATCCAAAAACGTTAGTTTCCGCGTTTTCGCAGAAATCCAAAAATATATCGGCCCAGCCTCCTTGCAAGTTTACGGATTTTCGCGAAAATCTTCGCATTTTCGCAAAAATCTGCAAATTTTCGAATTTTCGGGCTCCCGGCCCACAAGCCTATTCAAAAATCATTTTTTTTTTGAATTTTTGCGTATTCGCCTTAAACAAAATCGCAGAATTCAATTAAATATTGTATCCTCCTGGGCTCAATTGTGGTTGAAGCTCAGTATGACATATCAACATGGGGGCCCCTGCTCTGTAGACCCTAGCCCCGAGCCAGGATTCGAATGTTGACGTACCATGAACGCAACTTATACCGTCGCCGTATCATGCATGCTGAAGCCTTGATGCAATGGACTGGATGCAGCGGTAACATGGTTGTTAGCACCTTGGCTATCCGGATGCAAAGAGATGCACGCAGTGGTAACTTGGATGTTAGCATCCCTGGCAGCCGGGTATGCGCGCATCCCTCGCGCACGCCGTCTGAATGTACACAGTCTGGCAACAAATCATAAGCAAAACGTGCGGAAACGCAGGGTTTATGGTCGAGGGTTCAGGTTTTGTTTAGGCACGTTGCCTGACCCGCCCCCGAGGGGGAAGATTCTCAGAGCATCGTAGGGCATGCTGGGCATGGGATTCCGGCTTCACTTACTTACCACTATGGGCTACTAGACCTTAAGGGTACCTTAGTCTACCCTTAATAGGGTCCTAATAGGGAATTTTAGGGTCTAATAGCCCATAGTGGTAGTCCCGCAAAAATTTACACACCCCCCAAAAGTCGTCGGACAATCCTTATTCCGGAACGACCAGACTCTGACTAGACCCTACTGCCCAACAAAATTGCAAATTTTCGCAAAAAAAATCGGTAAATTCTCGCAAAAATCGGAAAATTCTCGCAAAAATCGGTAAAACAACCGCAAACAGCGGAAAATTTTGGCAAAAACATCTGCAAATGTTCGCAAACATCTGAAAAAATTTCGCAAAAATCTACAGGTTTTCACAAACAAAATTGCAAATTTTCGCAAAAATCGGCAGATTTTCGCAAAAATCTGGAATTTTCGAGAAAAAAACAAATCTGTGAGTTTGCTATTTTCGANNTTTTCGAATTTTCGGGATCCCGGCCCACAAGCTAACTCAAAAATCCAAAATTTTCGAATTTTCGCGTATTCGCCCCAAACCGAATCGCGTAAATTTCGCTCATCGTTTCGTTGTCACATTAGGGTTTAGGGCCACATGATCTCTGGATGTCCCTGGCTCCCTATGAAGGCAAACCAGAATTCCTTCAGAAACCGTTCTTACCCCTCATCCCCCAAATGGAGAATCCCCACAATCCCGCAACCATAAACCCCAAATCCTAAACCCTATAGATCCTGCATCCAGTGTCCTCAGCACTATGTTGCCCCCTTTCAAAAACACTCCAGACCTCATGCATATCTAATCCCTGTATTACGGCCCTCCTTGGATGACCCTGAACCCCATAAACCTTATCCTAAACCCTGAACACCAAGCCCGAAACCCTAAACCCTGAACCTTATAAACATCCTAATCTTACCCCAAGTCTTAGATCCTAAACCTCAAACCCGAAACCTAGACCCTCAACCTTATATCCTACACCCTAAACCCCAAAGCTCTAAATTCTAAACCCAGCAGCCCCGCCTCCAGGCCCCTGGCTTCATCCTCACAGTCCAAAAAAAGGGTTTAGGGTTAGGGTTTAGGGTTTAGGGAAGAAGTACCAAAATCAAAGTCCTCCACAAACTGTCTAATAAAATTTCTACAAGAATTGATAGGGTTGTTGGATTGGGTTCGGGTTCGTAGAGGATACATAAGACCCCTTACCCGATTTAAAGGTGTAAGGCTTAGGGCTTCCTCGAAAATACCTTCCCAGGGGATTTATAGTAATATACCCTAAAGCCTATAAACCCTAAACCGGTTTAGGATTCAGGTTGGGCACGTAAGAAGATATGCAGGAATACCTAGGGAGTAGGGCTCAGGGTTTAAGGCCTGAAGGGACCCTGGGTACTCATGGGATTTTGGCAAGCTTTTTTTGGGGTGGGTGGCTATGTAGAGGTTCGTTTGGAAGAACATCCAAGTCACCTAAAGTTTGGGGCTTGGATAGCATCCCCAAATAAACCACTACTCATGCATCGTACAGGACTCTACGCTTGCTGCAGCCCCGGCCCTGAAGGCCCAAAACCAGCATCTACTACAACAACAGTCAGAGTTTAGGGTTTATATTGGGGTTATGTTCGGATAGTAGAAAATAAGATGGAAACTATTGTTTAGGGTTTAGGCCACAGAGTCTAGAGCTGTGGGTCGTTGTTGTCTGGAATAGCGCGCCCGAAAAAAACGTTTGCCCGAACTCGGAGGGTGCACTGGAGGTGAAAGCCCAAACCCCACCTGGACCTGGAAAGCCAAGATACACAAAAGCATGGTCTACTGTACCCTTACAGTGGGGAGCAGTTGCCTGAACTCGTAGTGTATTGATGTACAGTTGCCTGAACTTGTACTCTATTGACGTTCACGGTAAACCACAAATCATAATCCCTATGTGGGTTAGGACTCTTTCCCGAATATGGAGCTTAGACATTGGCAAACGCTCGCTGTCCTTGACCTCATCGATCGTCTGAAGCACAGTAGGGCCTTGTAATCGCGGTGCACCATACTTGGAGTCTGCTGACTTAGAGAGTTTACTTACTCTCCGAATAGCCTCTACTACAAGATCTAGAAGCCTCCTTTCTGGGGAAGAGGCTGTTGTGAGAGCCGACGCTTGGAAGTTCTCTTGACCCAGTTAGCCTACTTAGTAGCAGAGGCTTAGGGTTTAGAGCAGTAAGTCTACTCTGTGATAAGGGTTAGGAGAGGCCCATATTATGGATCATGGGGATAGCGAGTGAATAAGTCTAAAAAACCTTCACCACCACCAAGACGGCTACTTAAGAGTCTACTTCTACTTGCTGATTTCTCCCAAATTTGAACGCCCGTCTCGTGCTCAGAGTCTCCCCCTCTTTGTTTGAACAAAACCGATGCTCAACCCCCAAACCCTGAACCTGTCTTACAATCCCTCTCGAACACAGGACAATATCCCCCAGAACATATGTTTTTTGGTAGTTTCCCAAAACAACGGGACCCTAATGTAGACCCCAAATACTATCAGCCTTATTATGGGGACCACCAAAAAGGTAGCTGTGATTTACCCAACCCCCACTGAGCAGCCTCTGGATTTGGGCTCAGGATGAGTGAGTCGAGAGCCTCAATAGCTCGGGGCGATGCTAAGTCCCTTGGGGCAGCACGGACTGCGTTGCCATAAGCCGGATTTAGACTCCCCCTTACATAGATAGAATATGGAATTGACCACTATCATCTATCATCGTATGATCCCCATGTACCCCATATTGTAGCTACTTAACGGGGACTATAAACCGAACACCTTGAGTCATGCTCTCAAAACCCTGAACCACGTCGACTGGCCACCGCGGCTAGCGTTTACGCTACGGGCTTCAGGTCTAGGAGTCTAGGGCCCGCAATGTCACCAGAGTCGGACTGACATAGAGCTCACTGGAGGAAACGCACGTGGAAACAAATGTTCAGCCCCGAAACCCCCGCAGTCACCTGAGCCATCGTTCCTAGTATTCCCCGTAGTAACCCCCATAATCCCCCTCTATATAATCCCCTATATAGCCCTCCTTAAAGGAGTCTAGACTCTAACACACATGCACAAGCAAAGGCGGAACCCATACAGGGCTCTCACAAGGATCACCATACTTAAAAGGGGCTCAACCCGGCTCGTAGCGTCAACAAAGGGGCTCTACTTACCCCGACCCCTAAAAATTAGGATCCTATTAAATCCTAAACCCTAAAACCCTAAACCCGGAATTATATGATGATTAAGGGGTCCTTATTCATCCTTCTCATAGCAACAAGATACTTCAATCTAGGCAAGTCTGAGGAGAGGAGTTGCCAGTTAGGAAGTGAATATACCCCTTATATTATGACCCCCCTATATGGAGGTTTCCCAAAGTTAGGGGTACCTTTTTGGGGGGTCCCCATAATAAGGACTAGTGTAGCTTTTGGTCTATATTGGGGTCACCTTATTTGGGGAATCTACCAGTGAACTATCTGGAAAAAGACTCCGTTCCAAGAAGTGCCCTTGACCAAACTGACCGGTGTTTAAGGGAGTGGGGCAGTGAACATAGGAAGCATTACTCGTGATTACATAGGGATTATGCCCTCACCCTTATCGCCCTAAATAATAGTCAGCACCACAACTCTCCCGTCGGCACCAGGAAGCAAACCCTAAACCCCTAAACTATGATCCCCTGGAAAATCCTTAGCCCTAAACCCAAAACTAAATCCTAGAAAACCGAATTCCCCCGCACAAATCCTTCTCTACCAGTAAGCAAACCCTAAACCCCTACAC